GACGTTTGTCAGCGTTTAAGAGTCCTTCTCACGAAAAAAGCATTTTCTTAAAAATTCGTAGTTTTTTTTCCTTCAAATTTTTTCAGGGCCACAATTGATTAACTAACTACCCGGACTCTGAATTTCATGGTCATTGAAAAACTGTGACATTATCTTCTATAAGCCCAAACTTGAGTAAACATTGAAGATTTTTAGCGTTTTGGCTGAGTTTGTGCTTTGGGAGTTGTCTATTGTTTCTAGTCTGTCATTATACAGCATTCTTGTTCAGCACGCGTGCAATGACCGCGCTTGGCTGACTTCCGAATGCTCACCGAGATATAATAATTTTGGTACAGTGAGACAGGCCATCGCGTGATACATAGAGGTTTAAGTCACAATTTTTAATCAATTCTCGTGCTTCTTGTGCCTTTGCAAAAAAATCAAGAAGTGCTACACACTAAATCTACTTACTATTAAAAAAATATCATTTTTTCATAGGTTTAATGCAAGCCAATAATTAAACCAACTCGTGACGGGAATATCTCGGTGAGCATTCGGAAGTCAGCCAAGCGTGGTCATTGCACGCGTGCTGAACAAGAATGCTGTATAATGACAGACTAGAAACAATAGACAACTCCCAAAGCACAAACTCAGCCAAAACGCTAAAAATCTTCAATGTTTACTCAAGTTTGGGCTTATAGAAGATAATGTCACAGTTTTTCAATGACCATGAAATTCAGAGTCCGGGTAGTTAGTTAATCAATTGTGGCCCTGAAAAAATTTGAAGGAAAAAAAACTACGAATTTTTAAGAAAATGCTTTTTTCGTGAGAAGGACTCTTAAACGCTGACAAACGTCAACAAATAGCGAAAACTATAATTTCTATATGTTTGCTTTGCTCGAAATCGCGCGCATTTACAAGGCCCTAAAGCGTTTTGCTGACTTGCAAGGACCCATCTGTTATAACGATGCCCAAAATAAAGAGATGAATCTCATAGTTTATTAGATATAATCCGTGTAAAGTTTGCTTATCATTTTCGCATAAATTATGACCTAAATTTGGAAACCGCTGAATTTCTCGAATTGGGTCTTTGCGATTTTGGTGAAACTCTGTTCAGCGCAAGGCACTAATGCGCACTATGTGTAGCCGAGAGATTTTCACGAAAAAATGCCGGCAACAGCAGATTTTCGACTCAGACCTCAAAGGGGCGTGGCATTATAACCACGTGACATTTACTCCGATCGCCAAAAATTTTATGTTATATTGTAGATTGATCTATATGTTATCCATTCTATGTGTTAGACTTACGATAAAAGTAAAGGTGGGGATACCAGAGAGCTTCAAAGTAGGATGGTACCCCCCCCAAAAAAACTGGGTCGAGTCACCTTAAATAGGAAAGAAGTTGAGCTCAGCATAAATCAAAAACGTAGGTCAATAATTCGTCGAATATAGCCTAGATATCGGCCTTATTTCTGATTTTCAATAACTCGGTTGGGTGGGGCTTTGGTTGCCAGAAGCACAGGTTCATACAATTAAACACACAGTAAAACAATATATTTTATAAGAATATTGAGGCTGAAATCGACGAAACGTTATAAAGACACTCATTAAACATTAATTTCTCTAATTCTTTATGAATTATTAATGACGTTTTGAACTGTTAATAAAATACAATTGTTTTTAACTGATGTTAAAAACGTAAACGGGAAAACTAGCAAGCAAACGTTAAAAAAGCTGCATTAACTAAATCGCATACGGTATACAGCACAAGCTGTTCTGTGTTCTGGGAAATCGATGGGAAGATTCATTTCCCACCAATGAACTAGTAACGAAAACGGAAGCTCAGTGACCAATGCCCATGCTATATGATATTCATTAGCATGAATGACCATCAAACCCTGCTGTCTTGTTCGGCGTTTTCCAAAATACCCCTACCGGTCTTAAAGACGCCTCTTACAACTCCTCTTGATCGTCTAATGTTGATGGCCCTGTTGACAGTGAGTTGATTCATAACTTAAGAGTACCACTGATACAGGAAACGGGGAGACGTCCAAACCTGTTTGATTTTTAAAAAAAGTAGCTTTTCAGAAATGAAACCTTGTTTGTCCCGTGTTGTATTTTTCTGGGAAATCGTTGGGAAAATTCCCACCAATTAACTGAAAGTGAAACGTGAGATCATCATGAAAACGGAAACGAAAGCTTTCCGTCCTCAGTGTAACATTGAGCTATAATACTTTACGTATTTCAGTTGTTGTGGCTATTCAGGTTGTTAATAACTAACCGCACTGGTTCGACTCGATCAGACTCTGCTAAAGCATGTCAGAGGTTAGTATTTGAATTACGTGTGATTTGGTTTTATTATAAAACAGCCCATTTTGCTAACACATGCCGATACAAGAGTGTATTGCCATCGTTGACCGAATTATGAATAGCAAACTTTCCCAATTCAAATAAAGAAGGAGAGAAGTTAAGCCCAGCATAAGTCAAGAAAAACATAGGTCAATAATTCATCGAATATAGACTGGACATTCTTTGTTTCTGATTTCCAGTAACGCGGGCTATCAGTTGCCCGAGGTGCATGTCCACACAGTGTCAGGGGAACCCAACAACGATTTCCTGCTAAAAGCATAGAAAACACTTTTTAAGCTATCCAGAGTACTTTTAGATCTCTACAAATGCATTTTAAGCGGTGCTATAAAATTTGTATCTGTTCGGTCATTCTAGGGCAACTTGAGTCTTTTCGAGACCACAAGAGCTAAAGTATTTTTTCACGAAAATTTTAGAATCTAACAATTTTTCTGATTCCACTCTCCATCGCATTTTCGAATCCGAAACTTTTAGGTTTCCTTTATCAACGAAAAATTAAACTTTAGAAAATCGTAGGGAATTTATTAGATCGTGTAACGGTCATGTCCGAACAGATATTTTCCAGAAAACGGTCGTTTGGTACCCCTGACAGGGTAGCCTTATAGACATTTGATCATGTTGGTCAGTTTGCAAAATTTCGCCTCAGAAACAGGTATGCCTTCTTGAAAAGTGGCAGTGGTGTTACGAGCCATAGTTCCGGCCTATCTATTTTGTGAAACGAGAGAGCGAAAGTTAAATTGATAGGTTCAGGAATGTTGGTGTGGCTTGAAAAAACAAATTCGCTCTCCCCGGTCTTTCATTATTGGGGAGCTTAGGGAACAACGACGGCCACGAAAACGTCACTTAAAATTGATGTCGCGTTGCTTCAAACTTTGTCGCGCTTATTATACCTCGTTCAATTCGTCATGTCTTCGCAATTTTTTCTGGTGTTGAATTCTAAAAGGCTGTATCGAAGGTCGGAAAAGAAAAAAAAAATTGTTGTCTTTTGTTCACGGCTTCCTCCACAAAATGTTAGATTAGGCATTTTCACGTTGTAGTCGTGCAGTGGCGGCAAAGAAATGTATAAAAAAGCGTGACGTGCAAAATATCTAAACCTTTTGCTTTTTTGCCGTTTTCGTTGACGTCGCCGTCGTCGTTGCTTAAGCTCCCTATTAGTTAAGGATAGTTCTCTCCTAGTTCCTTCATAATCTTTTACCCAGGTTGGATGGAACACATTTTAAATTAGAATTGAATTAAAGACAGTCACTACCAGCATTGTAGGCTAAGTATTTAAGATGCCTTCGATACTCTTTTTACAAGTGTTAAACATTTTTCCAAGCCTGATTTTTATCAAACACAAAACACAAAGTCAGCCTAGTCCAGGGGGTGGGGGACTTTACTAGTCTTTGGTCGAGCAAATGCGATCGCTTAAAGACGCAAAAGAACCAAGAGATGTCAGCGAGCAGATTGCCTTACTTGCATGAGGTCCAAGCTTTTTGTCCGAGGGCGGAGGGGTGGTTTACAGGATAACTTTCCTTGGCTCAAGACCTTCAGTAAATCTAAAATATGATCCGATTTGTGTTTTGGTAGTTTCTGGTATTGTAGCTAGCCCGACTTCATCGAAGTCCTTCGATCTTTCTTGTCTCTCTCCCCCCTCCCCCCCTCCCCCTGCTTAATTTTCTGGCATTTTGAATGTACCCTACACAGCGACTTTTTCTATAGTAGAGGCCGGAATATTACGTAATGTTTAAAACACGGACAGCAGTGATTTATAACAGGTTAAAAATCCGAGCGCGAAGGGCGAATGGTTCAACATTCTAATTCACTTTGCCTCTCCTTCAAATCAATATACCGTTTTTGACCACTTCTCTAAACAATCTAGTGAAACTCTGCAGATTTTGTAACCGTATCAGTAGTCACCCATATTTGTACGGCGCTAGTGTTGTTTTGATAATTAGTTCGAGGAAATCAAAAAAAGTTCGAGTCATCCGGAGCTCGAGGCAAATGTAAACCGAACATAAGGAAATGCAAGTACCATGCAAAATTTACTTCGTGGGAAACAAGAGATATAATAAAGATCTTTTGAAAAAGGTATTAAACAACAACGTTTAATCACTATACCGGGCTGGACGCTGTATTTGAACTGGACTGCAAAAAAAAAGGCATAAAAGACAAAGAATACCCGATTAACCCAATTACACGATTAACTCAATTTGCCATGCACTTAAACTCGATATGATTCGCTAGGGTAAAATTATATAGACATAATCTGGAGGGAAGCAAAGATTACTTACACTTATCGAGAGGTTCGAGTTATCGGGAGCCGACTGTGATTAATTCCAAGCACGTGTGTTGGCTACATGTAACTCTCGTTTTTATGAATGAAAACCGGAGTTGCAATAGAGTACGCCATATTGTTTCATGTTCCTGAGATTCCTCTATTCTTCGAAAACACGCAAGCATAACATTAGTAGGCTACGCGTTGCCTCTTGTTAAGTTTAGCGTAAGTAAAACGGGAAAGGTTCACAAAGACTGAAACGCAAATGCTCTTAACAGTCACTGCATAATTTATTCAAACAGTTGCCTGACGTAATTGTTCTGTCCAAAACGTTAGAACGAGTTCAGCTCAGCTGCAAATACATTTTTGACTTGTCTTTTCCTTCTCGTTCTCGTAGATAGCTACAGATCAAACTACTAAGGCTAACAGCAAAGAAGAGGACATTAACCGAGCTTTAGTAAAAGTAAAGCAAGGTCTCCACACTGTGAAAGTTTCCCAGTTTGACGCGACCCAGGTTCAACGAGAAATTGAGGGCGAACTATTTGACAAATGGCACGAGGCTTGCGAGGTATGAGGTATTATTGATGTCAGGGCTAAAGGCCAAGCGTCTCTTATATACTTTTAACTACTTAAAACCAAAAATTTAAAACGAATAAGCTACTGACCCCCCTCCCGCCCACCACACCCATCTGAGAAGCTTATAGTCCATGAAATTTATTGTGTTATAAAGGCTGGTTGTCACTCACGAAATTTGGCTGCGTTCAGTTCACGGTTAATGTTAATAGGTCAATCCTTTCGTATCAAAGGGATTCTACCCAAATCGTAAATTAGGCCGATTTTTGTGTTTAGAATGTTTTCCTTGAGAAATTGGAACGACAAACTGCTACGTGTAAACTACCCTTTAGATTAAGCATTACAATATCAAATACTCAGTAACCTCATACTGTTACTTTTGAAAAACAGAAAAAGGAACTCGACTGCAGATTTATTTCATTTTGTGGCGGCATTACATGCCAAGAACACGATAATTTGTCAAATTAACTGAAATGAAAAATAGGCTTCAGTTGTCGGCAAGCCTGACGACAAACAAATTTCTAGATGTTGCATTGAAGTTTTCGTTCAGGAATTCACCTGACAAAATTTTAACCAAGCGGGGTGAGGGGAGACTATGTTTTTTCCTGGAGTGTGACCACAAGCGTGGCCAAGCAAAAAACAAAGCTTAAGAAATTTATTTGTGAAAATTTTCCTCGTAACTCGCAAGCCGAACACACGAAAATTCAATCTAGATTTTTACTCCAGCAACTCCCTTGGTTGCCCCTTAAATGGATAATTTTGAGCCAAAATGTGACGCAACATACATTGCTGGAACACCCTTCCCTACCCTACTGAGTTTTCTACCCCTACTCTCAGAGTCTGTACGGACGACAGACTTACGCTAACGTCATAAGCAAATTTTCTGGCATCGGTAGGTTACCATTTTCTATTAGCTATTGAGCTACGCTGCGCGCGCTTCGCGCGCTCGGTTGTTCTACTATCAAAGGTTTTCCAAATATAATCAAATGAAAATACCACTCTGAGTGTCGAGCGTGTGCAAAAATAAATATCTAATATCTAAACAGGTAATGGAAGCTAAAGGTATTGCCATTGAGAGTATCCAAGGCTTCCTGGATCATCTTCAGGACGCTTATGAGGGTATTGATGAAGAGATGAGAAAGAAAATGAACGGAATCGAGTGGGCAAAAGAATGGGCATATAAGGTAATGGAGTTTAAATACAACGCCTCAAGTGATTCTAGTGCCAGGTACGGAATGATAGCGTTTGGCAAATCGAAAGATGGAAAGTTTGTAGACTGCATGTACTGCCTCTACAAGCTGGATTTTAAAGTTGCCCCTGAGAGAATCATCACCACAAAACAACATTCAGTTTTGTGGGGTCTGGTCAAATGGCAAACTGTGGAAGAGAGAGTACAGGAAAGAGTGCTTGGCGTGAAGTCGCTGAAACGCATCAAAAATTTCTTCCGCTTTAAGGCCCTGGAAGGCTTTTACAAAGAAGGTCTCATCGACCAAATTAATGTGGTGCCATCTATTGAAGATGTGGCGGATGCGGACAAGTAGAAAAAAACGTTTGTGAAGGCCAAATTTGGTTTATCCTATTTGCATTTCAATGAACTATTTCTTTTACTAGAAAGCAAGTGTATCAGTAGTGATTGTTCATTTTCACTTAAACATTTTTTTTGGCTACAGTTTCTGGCACTAGCATTGAATTACCATAAAAAAGTTCTTAACAGGTAGATTCAAAGAAAAAATTCACGTAATTTATTTTTGATTGTTATTAGCTTACACTCAACTACTTGCGCTGGGTCGTAGAAGAAAATATACTAATAACGAAAACAACCATTTACTGGTAGTCCAAAAGGTAATCTGGAATTTACTACATGTGTCCAACATATAAGAGTTACGGTCCGGTTCAAAAAGGCGATGTGCGATGCATTTGAGGATACGATTTGTGGAACGCGCTCTATAGATATTTTTGGCGATGCAATTTGTCGCCATTAAGCCCGCTACGCACTCAGGCTTCAATTTTATCCGTCGGTTCCCACCTTGCCCTCCCCTCCCCCCCGAAAAATACAGACAAACAAACAAAACCCTCACACCTCTTAATTCTTTTATAAATTTACCTAATCTCCCCTTTATAAACCAAGTAGCTCAATAAATGCCCACAAGTTTTTTTTTTGCGCATGATAAATTGCTATCAAAGTTCATTGCGACGCAGTGAACTTAAAATGTGCCCTCAGCGGCAAATGATCGGACGAGAAATACTGGTTTGGCAGGCCCTCGTGTGGTTCTATAGCTTCCTTGGATACCGTCTCTAAGGCAGCTGTCACTTTCAGACTCGCAGAATCAAACCACATGTAATCTAAAGTCCAAACGCGGCCTGATCCTTAATGATTTGTGAACTTTGGCTCGTCGCCCTGAAAATTAAAAAAAAAAGGTTACAAAAAAGGCAGCGCACATGCCACAGGGAACCCAGCAGGCGGGAATCTTTACCTGTTCCTGTCGCAACGGAAAAAATAGGATACCAAGGCTGGTGTTCAATAATTACTGCGCCAGCTCGTGATCATGACTAAAAAATAACGTCACGTAAGGCACCGATCTGTATAAAGCGTCGACCTTGAAGTCAGTGTTTAAAATTTTTTAGCCTAGCTAAAGACTTTCCTATTAGATTGAAGTGATTCGTACTAGATCAAGTATGAGTGCGATTATTTCAAGCCGGTTATTTCTCCCAGAACTCTCATCCTCATTATGATACCAAAAGCTGTCAATGAAAGTATAAATTTTGGCTTTACAGAAATAGTTTTGCTTGATGCATGGTAATATCTTAGCCCTCCAGGGACTAGCCCCGAAATTGACAAGCGTGCAAACATGCTCGGATTTGGATGATTGTTGGCCATTAGGAATTGTTAAAGTTTTTCTTTTTTTATAAGTTTGTTAGCCATGATATTGTACAAACAAGTTTAACCTTTCTCATCTTTTACCTTAGTCTGTTACACAGCCGTTTTTTGTGTCGTCACGCAACGCTCCTCCCCACAAGAGAGTGACGACACCTAAAAAAGGTTCTGTGACGACACTAAAAACGGTTGTGTAGCAGACTTCTTTTACCTGTGATGGCTGTTCAATATCAGGAGCCCATCTGGTGTACTCCACACTTTTCAGTGCCTGTATCTCCTTTTCACTCAGTCTCCCTTCCTTTAAAAGCTGATAGGCGGGAAAATGGGGCTCAATATTGAAGTCCCCACAGAGAATGTGAGACACGTGTTCGCCTCGTGACTCGAATGTCGCCACCAGGTCTGCGAGGGCATTGGCTGCTTTCACATACTTGAGAGACCGTCTGTAGTAAATCTGCCCATATGATGTGTGCGGTTCCTGACAAGAAAAGTGTTCTAGAAATGAGAACACTGAGGAGTCACCGGCTCTCACCAGCTTCCCTCTTTTTTCTTTATAAATCCCTAGGAACTAAACAGCCTACTGCTCGTATAGCACTATATTGTTTCTGAATCCCTGATTTATCTCCCCGGAGATAGGGCTTCTGTTCACTCATAAGAACGGTGATTTGGGCGTAATTTCTGTATCGGAGCGAGGCTGCGCCGAGCCGATCTCTTAAGTGGAGAGTCACATATCGGATAGGTGTTCACACTATAAAGCGTTTGCACATGACGTCACGGCAGCCATATTGGTGTTTAAAACAATAAAGGTAAACACTTGTTTCCATATCTCAAACCGCCCCTGGATACATTGTGATGCCTACACAAAGTAATTTCATATATATGAGTGAGCCTTGACAGTACTGATTAGGGTAAGCACTGACCATACTGATTAGGGTTAAGCACTGAAAATACTGATAATGAGTTAATGGTTAACTTCTATTTAAGGTGGCCCGAACCTCAGTTTATATCTGCGTTGATTATGTTTTTGAATCTCGGTTTTCGGCAGGAACGAAGTTAAGCGATTTGTATGATTTTTGGTCTCCTTAATAAAGAATGGTGCAACTTTAAAAAAATGTTATTTATTTTCTTTTAGGGATAAAATCGTTCAAGATATCGGTATATGTTTAAAACCGCATTTTTTACAAACATGTGAGTATCTTGGAAACTCTTCGACAGATTTTTCTCTAATTTCCACAAATAAGTCTAAGACCTCTCTAGTTTTATATCTGCAAGTTTGAAGTCAATCGTGACCGTACAACTTGCTGCACAAAATGCTGGTCAAATTTAATCTTAAAATGCAACGCTAACACATTTGTGAAAGTTGACGCACAAATAGAGGAAGGGTGCCGACAGACTATCCCTATCTGCAAGGGTATTCTTGCCCAAAGCTTTATTGCAAGAAACTGAGTAATCAGAAACCTACGGCGAGTACAGTTCGCAATACAAGAAGAACATCTTTATGCTGAATGCGGGGCAAGATTAAAGAACTTCCATTCATCATCAAACGTGCTTTGTATTTGTCTCTCTCTTCTCGAAACCATTAACAAAGCAAAATATAGCATCTACGAAAAACTCTCAACAGTTTTAAGCGTCGCAGGCATACAATTTTCAGCTGCACTGAAAGCCCTTGTACTGGGTAAATTTATTCAAGCTTTTTAGACTTGTCGTTACGTTCGCACGGGAAGTTTGCCACTTGGGGATAAAGATGAAGAAAGATATGACAATCGTCATATTTTTCTCATTATCCTCAATGGCAAACTGCCCGTGCGAATGTGATGGCAAATCTAACAAGCTTGAATAAATTACCAAATACAAGGGTTTTCGTTGTAGCTGAAAATGGATCGGTTGAAGTCCTGCAGATGGTGGCTGTATTTCTCCTCAAGACGGGAACCTTCGGTGCTAAAAACAGGTAGGCGATTTCTGTAGATGCTATATTTTGCTTTGTTGAGATTTTTTTTTCAAAAAGAGAAGGGCAAAAAACACAGTAACTTTGATAAATAGAAGTTCTTTCAGTCTGCCCCGCATTCAGCATTAAGTCGCTCTTCTTGTATTGCGAACTGTACTCAGTTTCTTGCCATAAAGCTTTGGGCAAGAATACCCTTGCAGATAGGAGATAGTCCGTCGGCTATCTTCCTCTATTTGTACGTCAACTTTCAGAAATGTGTTAGCGTTGCATTGTAAGGTAAAATTTGACCAGCATTTTGTGCAGCAACTTCCACGGTCACGATTGACTTCAAACTTAGAAAGTTCCGAGGCTTATTTGCTGAAATTAGAGAAAACTCTTTCGTAGAGTTTCCAAGTTATTGACATTTTTTGTTAAGATCCATCTTTTAAACGACAAACGTGGGTTTGTACCACGTGACCAAGGTTTCCTTTACTTGTCGCTTACCGTTCAGTACGTCCACCAAAATATAATAGTTCCACGCCAGTAATATGCATGATTTTATCTGCTCATTTCCTATTTTGAGAAATTGAACCTGGCGTTTACCGTGAAAGTGAGGAGGAAAAAGGCGAATCCAAAATCTCCCTCAGCATTCCTTTTCCACTTCCTCCCCTACCCGTAAAGTAACTACTGCTCGCAGGCGTGGTTAACAACCCTAACGCCAAAACCAAAAGCATTATAAGCTTCTGGCCAAAACAGAATCGGTAGGAGAATTCTTTGGGTTTGCGAAATGAGAGATAACGTAAGATTGGGTTTAATTGCCATGTTTATTTTATCATCATCGTCATCATGAACATCATCATCATTATTATTATATCATTACTACATAATTATTACTTAAAACAGTGTACAAACATTATCAGTGTATCAATAATTAAATTATGGTTTGTTTCCCATAGACAGGCAAAATCGAACGATAAAATCCAATGTTTCAGTCAGTTCTGCAATTACAGTGAATTAAGAGAACTAAAATTCATCAAATTCATCTGATCATCGTTATTATTATATCATTACTATATAATTACTACTTAAAACACTGTACAAACATTATCAGTGTATCAATAATTAAATTATGGTTTGTTTCTCATAGACAGGCAAAATCGAACGACAGTTAAGAGAACTAAAATTGTCTCAATTTTGTTGTCCATTTCACCACTCTTAGATTATAAAATAAAACTCGAGGAGAACACTAAGTCTGAACAAGAGAACTCTAGGTGCGAACATTTTTACAACCTTCCCTGTTTAAATAAAAACATTATTTGTTTCATCATTGTTTCATAAGACGACAATATATGGTGAAAACCCGAAAATCAAGCTGTCGATAACTTGACCGGATCACCGTGGTTCGAAGGAAATTTTTTTCCTTTTACTTCATAAAAGTGTTGTCATAATTAGTATTTTCCTGGTCATTATATGTCAAATCGTACGTACAGTCGTGAAATCAGCTTTGTACATGCGTCTGCACTGGCACGGCAAATTTAAAATGTCCTTTAAGTGACAGGTGATCGGACGGAAAGAACTGGTTTGGCAAGCCCTCGTATGGCTCTATAGCTTCTCTAGGTACCGTCTCTAGGGCAGCTGCGGCTTTAAGATTGGCGGAATCAAACCAGATATAGTCCAAAGTCCAAACGCAGCCCGGTCCTTCATGATTTGTCAGCGGTGGCTCGGCACCCTGATAAACAAGAACA